GTAGTGATAGGACAAGGGGCAACGGTTTTAAATTGGAAGAAAAAAGATTCAGATTAGATCTCAGGAAGAAATTTTTTACTCCGAGGGTGGTGAGACACTGGCCCAGGTTGCCCAGAGAAGCTGTGGCTGCCCCATCCCTGGAGGGGTTCAAGGCCAGGCTGGATGGGGCCTTGAGCAACCTGCTCGAGTGGGAGGTGTCCCTGCCCAGGGCAGGGGGTTGGAACTCGATGATCTTTGAGGTCCCTTCCAACCTGAACCATTCTATGATTCTATTCCGTTATTATTATCATTCCATTATTATTAGAAAGTAGCACTAAATAGATTATTCTGCCCCCCATCACTTCCTAACTGTTTCAGGTATAACCACCCTAACAACATTTTGCCCTCACTATGTTTTTAGAAGAACCACAGGCTGCTCACAGCTTCGTGGTGGGGGCAGCCCCCGACTTCAGGGATGTTTCAAGCTGGAATTCAAGGCACCACGTTCTTTCTACCTTTGAAAACCAGACTTTCAGAGTTGCTTCTCTTTAAAGAATTAAAAAAAAAAAGGGACAAAACTTTCACAAAGTAGGGATGTTTAATCTGCCTGAGGGTTGATCTGGGGCGAGTTTATCAAATAACTTTTCACCAGAAAGCCAGGGTGAAGGGAAATCTGCACAGTGCCACCCAGGGCTCTGGTGACTCCCAGAACCCTCTAAGTCACCATCTCATAGAAATTTAAGTTTGCACTTAACAGTGAACAACAAACCCACAGTTATTTGCTTAACAGTTTTTTCCCCATCTATCAAGCAAATTGCTACCTCTCTGGCAGCTCGTACAATGCAAAAATAGTTGGGGGCTGAGGATTCAGCAATCTCCAGCTTCTCTTCTGCCATTCCAGTTGCTGCTCAAATGGGTTTGTTCACTAGGTCAGCTGTCACAGGGCAAAACCAGAATCACTTAAAGGTTAATAGGTGTCCCTGCCACAGCCTCTTATTAAGCCTCGTGGGTGCATCAAGAAGAGTGTGACCAGGAGGTGGAGGGAGGTCATCCTGCCTCACTCTGCCCTGGGGAGGCCCCATCTGGAGCACTGGGACCAGTTCTGGGCTCCCCAGTTCAAGAAGGACAGGGAACTGCTGGAGAGGGGACAGCAGAGGCTACAGAGATGATGAGGGGCCTGGAGCATCTCTCTGATGAGGAGAGGCTGAGGGACTTGGGGCTTTTTAGTCTGGAGAAGAGAAGGCTGAGGGGGGATCTGATCAACACCTATAAATACTTCAAGGGTGGGTGTCAGGAGGATGGGGCCAGGCTTTTTTCAGTGGTGCCCAGGGACAGGACAAGAGGCAACGGCCACAAACTTAAACATCAGAAGTTCTATCTCAACATCTCAACATGAGGAGAAACTTCTTTGCTGTGAGGGTGGCAGAGCCCTGGAAGAGGCTGCCCAGGGAGGTGGTGGAGTCTCCTTCTCTGGAGACATTCAAACCCCACCTGGAGACGTTCCTGTGGGACCTTCTCTGGGTGGCCCTGCTTTGGACTAGATGATCTCCAGAGGTCCCCTCCAACCCTGTATCATTCATAATTCTGTGATTCTGTGAGCTCAAACAGTAAAACTGGAAAGGAGTTTGAGAAATTTATAGCCAAATGCATTTTTAAAATCTCATTTCCTCACTCCTATCTTGTAATTCGTGAACATCCCCGAACTGCGCTTCAAGAAGTTCATTCATAATTCTGTGATTCTGTGAGCTCAAGCAGTAAAACTGGAAAGGAGTGTGAGAAATTTATAACCAAGTGCATTTTTAAAATCACATTTCCTCACTCCTATCTTGTAATTTGTGAACATCCCCGAACTGCGCTTCAAGAAGTTCTAAGGCACCCCAAATAATATATCCCTAAACCCAAAGTGCTCGTTTCCTCCCGTAGTGGGGGGTTTGGGCAGGTTAATAGATGCCCTGACACCCTCATTTTTCTTACCTCAAACACTCCGTTGACCTTCTTGCGCCAGACCCACTCGGGGTGGGGGAAGCCCACGGACTTGCAGTACATGAGAGCCTCCTGCCCCTCGTTTTTGTTTTCACTCCGCTTGTGGCCAGTGATGTCAGGACTAGCTGTGAAAGAAAACAAACAAAAAAAAACCCCTTCTGTTTACAAGCTGCTCATTGAAGCCCTGAGACCCTGAACAGAAAGTCACAAGCCCCCTGGAAGCTGTTGTCTTTCCCACACCGAGCCCATCTTACAAAGAAAAATGGCCATCCCCACATCTCTCCCAGCAGCAGCTCAACTGAAGGTCTGCAAGAACGTCCTCCAGGCTTGGTTTCCCAGCTGCCCCTCGTTTTTGTTTTCACTCCGCTTGTGGCCAGTGATGTCAGGACTAGCTGTGAAAGAAAACAAACAAAAAAAAACCCCTTCTGTTTACAAGCTGCTCATTGAAGCCCTGAGACCCTGAACAGAAAGTCACAAGCCCCCTGGAAGCTGTTGTCTTTCCCACACCGAGCCCATCTTACAAAGAAAAATGGCCATCCCCACATCTCTCCCAGCAGCAGCTCAACTGAAGGTCTGCAAGAAGGTCCTCCAGGCTTGGTTTCCCAGACAGATTGAGGGACAAGGGAGAAATCTCAGTGTCAAACTTGAGTTATCTACCACAAACTTACAAAATTAAGATGGCCCAGCTTTCCCACACCGAGCCCATCTTACAAAGAAAAATGGCCATCCCCACATCTCTCCCAGCAGCAGCTCAACTGAAGGTCTGCAAGAACGTCCTCCAGGCTTGGTTTCCCAGACAGATTGAGGGACAAGGGAGAAATCTCAATGTCAAACTTGAGTTCATCTACCACAAACTTACAAAATTAGGATGGCCCAGCTCTTCCCTGGTGCAGGAAGCTGAGAAACATCCAGGTGTCCCTGCAGGAGGTCCCTGGGGCTCTGTGGCACCTTCAGCTTTGAAACAGAGTTGTCCGAGAGCCTTGTTACAACTTCCGTGGGGTGTCAGGACTGGGCACTGAGACTGTCTGAGCAGGAATTTCCCAAAGCTGAATCGAGATGTTCATCCTCAAAGCAGGGTTTTAGACTTGGTGCACAAACACCCTGTGACTCGTTACGCTTAACGCTCGTTAGACCTTGCAGTGACACCACTCCCGGGTACCCCTGGGGACCTCTCACGCAGCACAAGTCAGAAATCCCTCCAACGAAGACCCTTTGGTTCAGCCAACCCATAAATACATTTATTCTAAGGAAGGCTGCAGGGGAAGGTGGGCCAACACAACAGCCCTGAGTATCAACAGAGGGTCTTCCGAATGAATTTCTGGAGAAATGCCGTCGCTGCCGTTGGGCAGAGCAGCCCCGTTGGGCAGAGCAGCCCCGTTGGGCAGAGCAGCCCCGTCGCAGCCTAATTCCTCACGGGAGATTAGGGTGGATCAATGGGCTGCCCCAGCTGAACCTCCCCTTAAGCAGATGGCTGCGGTGCCGTAGTGACCACCTTTAAAGCCCATTCGCTTTCTAGCTGGCTAATTATGTCACACGTGGCCTGCTGTGTGATGGCAGGACGCTGATCTGGTAATCCAGTCAAAGGCCAATCTGGGTGCTCCAGGAAAAGACACCCCCCCCAGGCACTGGAATTTATTCTAAGGGTCTATTTAAGAATTCCCTTTCCCACTGGTAACCCCTACAGAAGGTACGGGCCTTTAAAGCCCATTCGCTTTCTAGCTGGCTAATTATGTCACACGTGGCCTGCTGTGTGATGGCAGGACGCTGATCTGGTAATCCAGTCAAAGGCCAATCTGGGTGCTCCTGGAAAAGACACCCCCCCCCAGGCACTGGAATTTATTCTAAGGGTCTATTTTAGAATTCCCTTTCCCACTGGCAACCTCTACAGACAGGTACAGAGAAGGGGCAGGGGTTTGGGACAGCTTCTAAAAGAATTCAGCAAGAATTCATCCAGTTGCAGCAAACAAGAACAAGGAGAACACCTCGTGCGACAAAACAACACGGACTGAAGCTGCTCTTCTCCAAAAATGACATCCCAACTTCTTGGGAAAAGGTTCAGCAAGTTGAAGTGCTAAAGGAATTATTGTAATTCAAAGGTGAGGGCTTTTCAAACGCAGAAAGGACCCCACGCCTTCCTCCTGCTGGATTCTTCCTGGGCAGTAACAGGGCTGGTGGATAATGTCATTAGAGGCAGAATTCAAATCAGCTTCAGAAGATCATGGCTGTAGGAATATTTAAGCTACAGTGTTTCTTAGTACGTGTGTATTCACCTGAAAATGCCCATGTCTGTTCAAAGAGGATTTCCAACCCAGCTCTGCAGAAGTTCTGCTCATTTGCCATGTAAAGAAACACACACTCGCCAATTACAAAATTAATTTAACCCTACAAAATTAACTCTTAGCTGCTTTTTCTCCCGCAGGATTGGCTCCAGCCCAGCAGCAGCCAGGGCCAGCAGAGCACCAACCAGCTGAACAGCCCCTCTGCTGTTCAGGAAAACATGATTCTTCCATAAGGAAGATGAAGGAAGAAACTTCTTCACTTTGAGGGTGGCAGAGCCCTGGCAGAGGCTGCCCAGGGAGGTGGTGGAGTCTCCTTCTCTGGAGACATTCAAACCCACCTGGACACGTTCCTGTGGGACCTGCTCTGGGTGGACCTGTTCTGGCAGGAGGTTGGAGGAGATGATCTCCAGAGGTCCCTTCCAACTCCATATCATTCAGTGATTGTGACACCTAAAACATCTTTACATTCCCTTCCAACCCTGTATCATTCTGTGATTGTGACACCTTAAAACGTCTTTACGCATCAAACATGACAATACTTTGAGACAAAACCCATGAACTGAAGACTCCAGATCTCTGGAGAAGACTCCAATTCTCTGGTCTTGTGTGAAAAGAAGCTGCCGGGTACAGGAACTGAAGGAAGCTGGCAAGGGAAGAACACTCCATACTGGCTGAGTGATCCCATACTACCTGTGCCTACACGGGGCAATTACACCTGGAGGAAATTAAGTTTTCAAGCTGAAGGTCTCCAAGCAGACAATAAATGAGGTTTGGGGTTGAGTGTGCTGCATTACATCTTCAAGACACTTCAATATGCACCTGCGACATCCTTTCAAACCACTGCCTGAGGCCTCAGAGAGGAGCAGAGCATCTATTCCAGAAGATGGTGGTTCAAGAAGTGGCTTATCCTCTCATGATGTACTGAAAGGTGTCTCCTCCTCCTCAGCAGGCTTGGAAAGCTCTCTCTCAGGAGGAGAGAGGTAAACCCAGTGGCTTTTGCTTACTTGATGACACGCAGAGATCGTGCCCAGCCTACAGCAGCAGAGCCAGACTCAGGGTGACAACATGAGGGTCCCAAACCTGACACTAACTGTTAAAATCTACTGCAAATTACCTCTGTTATTAAAAGAAGAAATAGGATTCATCAGCTGAAAGTGGGAGCCCCACAGGGTGCCCATCTCTCGGTGCCAGGCTGGGTGCTGCAGGGACAAAGGGTGCAGCCACTGCCCCACTTTCTCCGTGAGATTTCCGATAAAGAAAGAAATAAAACAGTGTAAAGCTTTCTAGGACACCTTAACCTCTACTGCAGGGTGACCTAGTGTTCTCCTCCAGCCAAGAGATAATTATATTTCTTTAAGGAGAGGGCACCTCTGCCAGGTTACCCCAGTGAGAGCGGGAGGGAGGAGAACACACCCTGCTCCTGCCTGGCTGGGCTCGGTTTTGCCGCAGCCTTTTCCAGCTCCAGGAGGACAGGGACTATTTTTGTTCACAGTCTGAGGGGAGCACTCCACGGAATATTAATATTTCAGGGCATCTGATGCTCGAGACGCATCGGCTACGACTGAGACATTAACCCAGCATCAAATTGTTTGGCTAATTGCCTTCTGCTGTACAAAGGGCAATTAAAACATCGCTGCAACTGGCCTCAGCCGCAGATTTAGCAACAGAAGGGTGTTTTCCTGGGAAGCTTTTCCAGTCATAGATGTTTTTTTTTTTCCTTTACAGCGTTCTGCTCCAGCGCCAGGTACAGATAAAGCACAGAAGGGAGAGGGTTTTGCTCAGAAAGGATTTAGATTTCACTCTGGCTTTTAAGCAGCCGAATCCAGGCCTCCGTCGGGATCCAGGCGGCTGCGGAGATGGGGGCACAAGGTAAAGCCCCTGGAAAAAGGGAGCCAGGTTTTTATCCCCACGTTGTGAAACCTGGAATCTAAACATGGAAAGTTTGTTTGAGACAGCACATGAAAGAGCCCTGGAATCTAAACATGGAAAGTTTGTTTGAAACAGCACGTCAAAGAGCAAAAAAGAGGCAGGGCTGGTTTAAATTCATTGCTACTAAAAGAAATAAGTAATCGAAATACAAATTTATTCATTCTAGACACAAGAGCAAACTCATGATGAGCATCTTTCTTTTTCTAGTTTTAAAGCAAATTGAAGAAAAAAAAAAAAAAAGGGGGATTTTTGTGTCAGAGTAAGAACGGACCTTTATGCTTCCAGGCATAAAATGCACCCTGCATTTTCCTTAGGGAAAAGGGTGCTCTGAATACAGCCCTGAAAAGAGGGTTTTTTTTCTTGTTATAGGGCATGCAATGCCCTTTTTGGATACATAGGAGACATGCAGCCCTTAATTTCCAGGTATTTTCAAGCTATTTGACTTGTGCTACTAAAAAGAAGAGAAGAATTAACATGCCTAAAACCTCCAAACCACGTCCCAGTTCACAAAACCTCTTCAAGCTTTCTCATTAAAAGACAAAAAAAAAAAATTAAAGCAAGGGCAAAAGCACCTAAAAATATTCTTGCGTGTAAAAACTCTGATGTCTTCTGGGTGACCTAGTAAAAGGGCTCGGGGAGATTTATTCCTCTGCATTACAATTCCATTCTGTGTCTACCTTTCCAGCCACACGGCGAGAGGACGTGACAGGCATTTTGTGGGGAAGGCTCCGCGCTGCCCCGAGATGTGGTTGTGCTAAGAGAGTGTCTCATTTCTTAATTAATTTCTGGGCCAGCGCTGGGAAATATTGCAGCAGAGGTTGGTTTTTCCCTTTTTTTTTTTTTTTTTAAGCGAGCCAGGAGTCAAGAAGTCAGGATCTCTGAAAGAACTACTCCATTTCCAGTGTGGGGCTTGGGCT